GAATGTCTTTGTTTTTAGTAATGTGGGACGCCCCCCGTGCCCTGCTCCCTTCCATGGATAAAAAAGGGGTTTTCGTGATAGGGGCTTCTTGCAGTTCTTGATAAAACACGGTTCCTGAGTCTGGCCCGGGGGCAGAGTGCAGGGCATTTCTTTATCGCCGTTCAAAGCTTTTGGCGTCGGATAACTCGGATAGGCTTGTGTAATCAAATTTTGTGGCTCTTCATAAAAAATTCATTTTGTTTTCGCTCTCATTGGTTAGCGGTTTGCAAAAACTGGTCAAGGGGGACTTGAGAGTTTGAACGGAGTACTGTCTTGAGAGTTCTGAAGGTAGTACTGTTTGAGATTTCTGAAGTGTATATTGTCTTGAGAGTTTAAAACGTGTAGTATTGTTTAAGTTCTGAAGGTGTAGTATTGTTTGAGATTTCTAACGGTAGACTTCTTGAGAGTTCGAACGTGTATATTGTTTGGGGTTTAAACGGTAGTATTTCTTGAAGTTCTGAACGGTAGTATTGTCTTGAGAGTTCTAAACGTGTAGTACGTCTTGGGTTCTAAACGTGTAGTATTGTTTTGGGGTTCTGAACTTTAGTATTGTCTTGAAGTTCTGAAGGTAGTATTGTTTAAAGGTTCAAACGTGTGTATTTCTTAAGTTCTGAACGTGTGTACTGTTTTGAGAGTTTGAACGTGTAGTACGTTTTGAGATTCTAAATGTTTTCCTGTTTTGAAAGTTCGAACTTTTCTATTTTTAAAACAAGTGTTAGGTAAAAGGCGTGAGTAGAGTTAAGTCTCGAATAAAAAACGGGTACCGAGCCTCCACCCCTTTTATAAGGTCCAACGTTTAGCTCTTCATGGATATAATAATAATAATAAAATAATAATAATTTAAAAAAATAATAATAATAATTAATAATAAAATAATAATCATAAAAAAAACTCTCCACCCCATTCTATAATTTTTGTGTTCATACGATTTTTCTTTGGCCCCACCACTTGACCCCCTGACCCGGCTTCCACGACCACCTTCACCTCTCCCCCCTTTCCCCCCTGGCCTCACTCCTCAAGGGGGGAAAGGGGGGCTGGTGACGAATACCCCAAATTTTAAGAGGACCGGATTAGTGAGGATGGGGAAATCGGATTCTCCGTATTTCGCAGCCTCTATATTGCAGGGTTCTGAACCCCCCCCTGATGACATCACGGGTGCTAAACCGACCGAAAGACATCTTGGAGCGCGGCACGACCTTGAATGACTCTCAAGCTGACACGAACGTGAGATGACTTTTCGGGCCAAGCCTATGTGTCCTTCAACAAACCCTCTGTACACTTCATCTTCTGTCAAGTGCTTCTGGCAGGTGCATCTTCTGTCAAGAACCTGCAAGAGGTCTGCAAGAAGCCTGCAAGATGCTTGCAAGAGGCCTGCAAGACGCCTGCAAGATGCCTGTAAGGGGGCTGCAAGTGTAGCCAGGAATAACTCAGGTGACCTTAATGAATTGCAGTATCAGTCACTATCAGCAGAGTTGAACATCAAAATGGTATACAATACCGACAGGTTGTTAGGTAAATCACATATGCAACAGTTAGACAACTTTATTCCGAAACGTTTCGCCTACACAGTAGGCTTCTTCAGTCGAATACAGAAAGTAGGCAGGAACAGTAGAGATGTGAAGACGATGTAATCAGTCCATCACCCTTGAAGTCGTAGAATTTGAGGTTGTCAGTCCCTCGGCCTGGACAAGCTTTTCAAGTGAGAAGTGTTGGATCTGAGAGGGACATGACCTCTCAGTGGCTACATTCTCACTACTACTACTACTACTACTATTCTGCACCTCTCCTTCCGACAGTATTTAAGTCTCCGCACTGTCGCTTGATCTTCAGATAGTTCCTGACTATGGAACTGAACTTCTCCAGGCCGAGGGACTGACAACCTCAAATTCTACGACTTCAAGGGTGATGGACTGATTACATCGTCTTCACATCTCTACTGTTCCTGCCTACTTTCTGTATTCGACTGAAGAAGCCTACTGTGTAGGCGAAACGTTTCGGAATAAAGTTGTCTAACTGTTGCATATGTGATTTACCTAACAATCAGCAGAGTTAGCCAGTATCAGTCACCATCAGCACAGTTAGCCAGTATCAGGCATCATCAGCACAGTTAGCCAGTATCAGTCACCATCAGCACAGTTAGCCAGTATCAGTCACCATCAGCACAGTTTGCCAGTATCAATCACCATCAGCACAGTTAGCCAGTATCAGTCACCATCAGCACAGTCAGCTAGTATCAGTCACCATCAGCACAGTTAGCCAGTATCAGTCACCATCAGCACAGTCAGCTAGTATCAGTCACCATCAGCACAGTTAGCCAGTATCAGTCACCATCAGCACAGTCAGCTAGTATCAGTCACCATCAGCACAGTTAGCCAGTATCAATCACCATCAGCACAGTTAGCCAGTATCAGTCACCATCAGCACAGTTAGCCAGTATCAGTCACCATCAGCACAGTTAGCCAGTATCAGTCACCATCAGCACAGTTAGCCAGTATCAGTCACCATCAGCACAGTTTGTCAGTATCAGTCACCATCAGCACAGTTAGCCAGTATCAGTCACCATCAGCACAGTTAGCCAGTATCAGTCACCATCAGCACAGTTTGCCAGTATCAATCACCATCAGCACAGTTAGCCAGTATCAGTCACCATCAGCACAGTCAGCTAGTATCAGTCACCATCAGCACAGTTATCCAGTATCAGTCACCATCAGCACAGTCAGCTAGTATCAGTCACCATCAGCACAGTTAGCCAGTATCAGTCACCATCAGCACAGTTAGCCAGTATCAGTCACCATCAGCACAGTTAGCCAGTATCAGTCACCATCAGCACAGTTAGCCAGTATCAGTCACCATCAGCACAGTCAGCTAGTATCAGTCACCATCAGCACATCGTTCAACACACCCACTTACCTCTAAGTACAGTCCCACCTGACACCACAACTCAACTGATCTTCCACCATCACCTGAGTGCCGCCTCACCCACTGAGGTGTAGTCTCTTATTTCTCCCAAATATTTCACCCAATCAACTCCCCAAAAGGTTTCCTTGTTTCTTGCCACCGGCTCCTAAGTGGCTACTGTTAACTCAGTCACGTATTACTTGCCTTCCCACCACAGAGACCACGTGGGTCTTCTCTCCTTGGCACTCTTTAAGGTGCCATAAAACTGATTCACTCGTGGCATTCCTCTCTTGTGGTGTTAATAATGGCTTATTGTTTCTATAATTGCTTCACTTATATTGTGTACTATACTGATGTGCGCAGTATTGTGTACTACACTGATCTGTGTAGAGGAAGTTAGAGGAAGAGCTGTGTTTCCCTAACACATACACATCACAGAGCATGGTTCTCCTGTCATATTCCACCACATAGATATTCTTGTCGCACTCCACCACGCTGGATGGGTTTTCAGATGAGGTAATGAAATCTGTCAGTCTGAGGTGGGAGGCTTTAGTTGGGGGATATGGTGATCGTCAAGCTTCCCGCTATCAGTTAAGTAACTGTGAATATAACCTTGGTCTGTGTGAACCATACGAAGTATTATTATACAAGAGTTGAATTGGGAGTGACATATCCCTTCCCCACACACATACTTGCACACACACACACACACACACACACACACACACACACACATTCTTAAAATGGTGCAGGAAAACTTGGAGAGGACGGACGCCACAAACACCAGACTACTACGTGACCCCTTATAATGAAACAACCAAGTTAGTTAGTTTGCTGTATATGAAGGTTAATGAACAAGATACATGTGCAACACCCGAGGATATGAGTCAGTGTGTCGGATGTGAAGAAGATGAATGACACACATATATAACACATGTGTAACATCTAAGTATATGAGATAGTTTGCTGGATTTGAAGATGATGATACCCAAGATTTAGCCATGTGTGGTATACGTCTCGCTCATTGTATACAAAAGAACATAAGAAAAAAGGAACACTGAAACAGGCCTACTGGCCCATGCGAGGCAGATCCAAGTTTCCTGCCGGCTTAAGAAAATGACCCAACCTAGACAGGTCAGGTCACATCCACTTAAGGAAGGAGCACGGCGTCAGACCTATTAGCACAAACTAGTCAGAACCAACTCACACCCACCTACACCCACTCATTGTAGATGAATGGTTCAGAGAACCGACATGTTGTTGAATTAGACACATGTGCAACTCTTGGGTATCTTTATTGAGGATACCCAAGAGTTGCACATGTGTCTAATTCAACACCACACCCACTCATGTATTTATCTAACCTATTTTTAAAACCACACAACGTTTTAGCTTCTATGACGGTACTCTGGAGTTTGTTCCACTCATCCACAACTCTGTTACCCTAGATTTAATTTTAAAGGCACATACACTGGACGTGTGTCGCTAAACCTGCATCACACCTGTCTATTAACGTTAAAAAAACTTCCTACTTTGTAATAAGAATTAAAATATATATCTGTATGTACAAAGATATTATGCAAAATTTGCGAACAAGCGAATCCAGATGCAAAACAACCACGGGGGGAGTTGGAAAATAGCTCTAGGCCTTTCGTGTTACAATTAGCACATCATCAGAAGCTTGCAGTGTTGGTGTCAGATGTCCAGAGATGTATTATAAGGGAGTAAATGGGAAAGATAGCAGAGGCAATGGGTGTCCACACACCCATTACCTCTGATATCTGACTTCCCAGGCTGACTTCCCAGTGACCCGAGGCTGACTTCCCAGTGACCCGAAGCTGACTTCCCAGTGACCCGTGACTAACCTCCCAGTGACCCGTGACTGACCTCCCAGTGACCTAAGGCTGACTTCCCAGTGACCCATGACTGACCTTCCAGTGACCCAAGGCTGACTTCCCAGTGACCCGTGACTGTCCTCCCAGTGACCCGAGGCTGAATTCCCAGTGACCCGTGACTGACCTCCCAGTGACCCGAGACTGACCCCACAGTGACCCGACACTGACCTTGTTCCTGGAGGAGGCGTTGGAGCAGTTGAGAATACCCCGGGAATATCAATGCTCCCAAAGATACTCAACACTCTTAACACAAGAAGAATTATCAGATCAAACATAAACAACACATCATAGTATACAACATTCCCCTAAAAATTCATACATATATTATTTTAATATATATATATATATATATATATATAATAATAAATATATTTATATAATATTATATAAATAATATAAATATATAAAAATATAATAATACATAATAAAATATATAAAAATATATATTATATATTTTAAAATATTTATAATTATATATCATACATTATATATAATATTTTTATATATATAAAAAAAATAAAAATATATATATATATTATATATAATATATTATATATATATTTATACATACATATAATTATAAAATATAAAAAATTTAAAAAATAAAAAAATTTATATAATATAATAATAAGTATGTATGAAAATTTTGGGGAAACACAAGGGGAAATCCCACTCTTTTCACTTTCATGTTGGTTTTAAAATTTGACTTAGATATTTCTCAGAATTTGTTAAATGAGATTTAGGGGCCCTTGGTGTTGTCATGTTATTCATAGGGTTTAGTGGTTTCTTCCATGACTATCATGTCACCCCGCTGGGGAGTAAAATACCCAGTACCCCCCACTGGGAGTAACTACACCAGAAACCCCCCAGCTGGGTTATAAAACCATAAACCCCCCTGGGTATAACTACCCAGCCCACCCTGGCTGGTAGTAAATACACCAGTACCACCCCCGGGGGTAGTAACTACACCATACCACCCCAGGCTGTATAAAATACACCAGTACCACCCGGCTGGTAGTAACACACCAGTACCCCCCTGGTGGTAGTAACTACCCAAATACCACCCCGGTGGGAGTAACTACACCGTACCCCCTCTGGGATAAAATACACCAGTACCCCCCAGATTGGTATTACTACAAGGGCACCCAGGCTGGTTAACTTAAAAACCGACCACCCTGGTGGGAGTGACTATCAGTGTCACCCAGGCTGGTAGTAATACACCCCCCAGGTGGTAGTGATCATCAAAAGTCCCCCCCAGTGGTAGTAACTACCCAGTACCACCCCGGATGGATTTACTACATTACCCAGGCGGTGTAACACACCAGTACCACCAGGGTGGTAGTAATAAAAACCATACCACCCTGGGTGGTAGTGCTATCAGTGTCACCCCGGCTGGTAGTAACTACACCATACCACCAGGGCTGGTAGTAACTACACCCTCCACCCGGGCTGGTAGTAACTACCAAGACCACCAGGGCTGGTAGTAACTACACCATACCACCCAGGATGGGAGTGACTTAGTGTCACCCAGGCTGGTAGTAATACACCCGTACCACCGGGGTGGTAGAACACCCAGTACCCCCCCTGGTGTAAAACACCAGTACCCCCAGGCGGTAGTAACAAACCCTACCACCCAGGCTGGGATAACTACACCAGTACCACCCACTGGTAGTAATACACCAGTACCACCCGGCTGGTAGTAACACACCAGTAAACCCCCCGGGTGTAGTAAATAACCCTTCCACCCCGGTGGGATAATACACCAGTAAAAACCCAGGTTGGTAACTAAAACCAGTACCACCCAGGCTGGTAGTAAGGAAACCACCGTCACTCAATGGACAAACTACACCAGTGCCACCCAGGGGAAATAACTACACCAGTGTTTTCCCCGCGGGAGTACTATCAGTGTCACCCAGGCTGGTAGTAACTGTCAATGTCACCCCGGCGGTAGAACTACACCCGTTCCACCCAGATGGGGAATAATTCAGTGCCACCCAGGCTGGTAACTTCAGTGCCACCCGGGTGAAAAAACTATCGTCCACCCGGGTGTTAACTACACCATTGCCAGGAGGGTTGGTGATAAAACCCGTGCCAGCCAGGGTTTAGTGATCCTACACAAGTGGCATGGTGCCAGAGGGCACTCGCCATCACTCAAAAGGGCGCCTCGTAAAACTAACTCCACCATCATGGGTTTTCCCCAAACCAGAAATTGGATTCCCATAATTTTTTTTTCCCCCCATCAGGGATAACAATCTTATATATATTATAATATAATATTATGTGTGTGTGGTGTGTGGTGTGTGTGGTTGTGTGGTGTGTGTGTGTGTGGTGTGTTTTGTGTGAGGTGTGTGTAAAGGTAGAAAGTTGAAAGTGAAATAGAAAAGAGAAAGGTGATGAGGGTATAAAATTTTTTAGATAAAAAAAAATTTTTTGGATATAAAATTTGGGGGAGGAGGAGTATGGAAAATGAATTTTTTCAGACACTTGGGATTTTGACGTGTCGGCGGATGGATTTATAAAAGGGATGAGGTTAAATCATAAAATTTTGGATGGGGGAAAAAAAGGGGGTTAGTGGTGCTTTTGAGGTTTTAATGGGGAGTCAAAAAACTTTTATCAAGGAAACAAAAAAGGGGAAAGGTATGAAAGTAAAATTTTAACCCCAACTCTTATTTTTGGAAATTGAAGTTTTGGGTGGTAAATTCAGCAGCGGGGGGAAAGGGTTTTGGAGGAAATTTGGAGATGTCCTGTCTGGGAAAAGTGGGGGGGTAAATATTATCAAAAAAATTCGGAGTGGGGAAAAATTAGGAAAAAGGTTGGAAAAATAAAAGCTTTAAAGTCAGAGGGCAGAAGGGGGGTTGTTGAGGGGTTTTGGGGTTCATTTAGAGAAAAAGGGATCAAAGAAATTTTGACAGGGAAACATATAAATCTATGGGGGAAGGAAAGGGGGGGAAAGGGGCCCCGCCCTCGAAAAGGGGGGAAAGAGGGGTAAAGGGGGGTTTTTGGGGGCGAGGGGTTTTGGACTTCCAAAAAAGCTTTTGGCATGAGCGTTTTTAGATGGGATGAAGGGAGAGGCGAATGAACTTGGGACCTAACGATCTTTGGGGGTGGGGGAGCGAGGAAAATTTGGGTAAAGGGGGATTCAGGGAAACCGATTTTTTTATAGCCCGGCCTTGGGGTCCGGGGAAAAGGGGAAAAGTACAATTCCTGCATTTTAAAAGGGGGGGTTTTAAAATTTTGGGCAGTTTGGAGGGATATGTTTTGGTATCTATAAAACTTTATATGCTTCTAAACTGTTGTATTCGAGAAACCTCTGCAAAAGCATAAATAAATGTTGAGTTTTGGTGAAAGGGTTGAATGATAAAGGAAAGTATTTTTTTTTTGGGGATTTTCTTTTTTTTAAATATATATTTTATATATAAATATTATATATATTATAAAATTAATAATATATTATAAATATTTTATAATATAAAATATATATATATAATATAATTATTATATATAGGAGAGAGAGAGAGAAAAAAACTTACAAGCACGTCTGACGTTAAACACTCAGGAAGGGAAAAACAACCCCTTATATATTCCCCGCCCGAGACCCGGAAAGTTAATTTCCAGCGACTGAGAAACCCCAGCGGGCAGCATCACGTCATTTTTAAACATGAAGCCGGGCCCTTAAAGGGTCGCCTGCAGCATGCGTAGAGTGAAAACGTTTGGGCCGGGGCTTTTTTTGGGTAATGTTTTTTTAGGAAACTTTTTCGCCAGCCAGGGGTTTCTTCAGTAATAAAAAAAGGTAAAAGTTTAGGAGGAGATGGGGGAAATCGGGTCCCTCAGCCGGAGTCAAAGTTTTGGGCCCAAATTAAGTTTTCCCCGCTGCCCTTTTTAAGCCCGCTACTGTCTTTTTTGGTAATCCCTTTTTTTTGTAAATGGGAGTCTATTGAAAAGTCTTGGCCCCCCTTGCACTTTTTGGGTCTTGCCTTTCATTGCGGCATTTTTGTCATTGAGAGTATGTTCCCCCGGAGTATTTTTTCCCACGGGGAGAATTTTTGGGTCACTGGGAGTAGGGTTTGCCACTGGGGGGTTATTTTAGTCACGGGAGTACGTTGTCCCCCGGGGATTTTGTTTCACGGGGAGTATGTTGTCAGGGAGTATGTTGCCCACGGGGAGAAACGTTGTCCGGGAGCATTTTGTAAACGGAGTAAAATTGTCACGGGGAGTATGTTGTCACTGGGAGTTAATGTCGCGGGGGAGAAATTTTGTCACTGGGAGTATTTTTTCCTCTGGGAGTATGTTGTCACTAGGAGTTTTTTTTGTCCGGGGAAGTATGTTGTCACGGGGAAAAAAATTTGTCACTGGGATATGTTTTCAACTGGGTACTTTTTCATTTGGGAGCATTTTTGCACGGGAAAATTTTTTGTCACTGGGAGTACTTTTGTCACTGGGACATTTTTTGTCACGGGGGAAAGAATGTTGTCATTTGGGAGTATTTTTTCCCATTTGGGAGTATTTTTGCCCACTGGAAGTATGTTTCACTGTATATGTTTCACGGGGAAAAGTTTCATTGGTATTTAGTTTGGGTAAAACTGGGGAAAGGTTAGTCACGGGGAAGAAACTTTGTCACTGGGAGTATGTTTTCACTGGGAAAATTTTTTGTCACGAGTTTTTTTTGTCCGGGGAGTACGTTTTCACTGGGAGCATGTTTCACGGAAAGGAATATTGTCACTGGGAGTATGTTTTTCACTGGGAGTATTTTGTCGCGGGGAGTATTTTTGTCACTGGGAGAAAAGTTGCCCTTTTGGGAGTATGTTGTCACTGGAAAATTTTTGCCCACGGGGAGTAAGTTGTCACTGGGAGTATGTTGTAAACTGTGAGTAGGGTTGTCACGGGAGTACTTGGGTCACTGGGCATGTTGTCACTGGTAGAAAGGGGTTGTCACTGGGAGTACTTTTGGTAAATGGGAGCATGTTGTCACTGGTTGTATGTTGTCACTGGAGTATTTTTGTCACTGGGAGATTTTTGTCACTGGTAGTATGTTGTCACTGGTATTATGTTTCACTGGGAGCATTTTTGTCACGGTAGAAATGTTTTGTTTTCACTGGTAGTATGTTGTCACTGGGAGCATGTTGTCACTGGTAGTATGTTATGGGTTTTCACGGAGATGTTGTCAGGAGTCACTGGTAGTATGTTGTCACTGGGAGCATGTTGTCACTGGTAGTATGTTGTCACTGGGAGCATGTTGTCACTGGTAGTATGTTGTCACTGGGAATATGTAAACGGACACAAGTGCAACTAATACGACATTTTATTGTGGCAACGTTTCGCTCGCCAGAAGCTTTGTCAAGCCGTCTATCTACCTGGAGTCTACTTGGAGGGTGTTCCGGGGGTCAACGCCCCCGCGACCCGGTCCTTAACCAGGCCTCCCGGTGGATCAGGACCGTAACGGCTCCTATGTTACAAATCCCTACTACACATAAGAGCAAAAAGTAGTGTGAGGGACTTGGGAGTGTTAATGGTCACGTAAGTCCCCTCGTCTTCTAATAACATGTTCATTTTCCACTATAATCTACCTTGTCCATTACTATCACATTTGTTTTGTCTTTTTCGTAAGGTGAAGTCCGGGATCTTTTCTTAATTTATGGTATAATTTAACAAATCTTTAATGACAATTGTGATGCAGAGGTCAGACCTATGCATTGACCCCTTGCGTTGACCCCCGGCACACCCTCCAGGTAGATAGACAGCTTGACAAAGCTTCTGGCGAGCGAAACGTTGCCACAATAAAAATGTCGCTTTAGTTGCACTTGTGTCCCTTTGCCTAACATATTGTGGGTAATTCTACTGACATATTTGAACATCTTGGAACAGAGAGGAGCAGGAGCGCCCCACGCAGTTACCTGCACGGGGAGGGGCGGCACTGGTTGAGGTACGTGCTGTCACCAACAGCCTTACTGATCAAGGGCCAGGCCTCCTTTTTCCGACGGAGGATCGAGTCTTCCACCAGCCCCTTGCGCTCTAAACCCACACGTCTAGAGCCTCAGCAAATGCAATTCCGGCCGCAGTAAGAGGGGTGGGGTGTAGAGAGGGGAGAAAATCACACGTCCAGGGGGTAACTGTGTAATATGCTGGTTTGTAGGGGAGGGGAGAGTTAGGTGAGGAAGGGGAGGGGAAAACGAGGGGAAGGTGTTGGTAGAGCTATAAATCAGTATGTGTGCTTCAGAGCAGCAATACTGTTGCCATCACTGTGTTATATGAGAGTGCTAGGTTATCTTAACAGAGGAGGAGGAGGAGGGTTGGGAAGGAGACGTATGGCAGTAGACACAGAAGAGACAGCGATGTATACTTAATTTAGTTGCAGCTCTCAAAGGCACTCGTCGATAGACACTTAGTCTTGCGTGTACTCACCTAATTGTAATGATGGGGATTGAGTCTCAGCTCCTGGCCTGTGTGTGTGTGTGCTCACCTAATTGTGGTTGCAGGGGTCGGTTAAGATAAGATAAGATAAGATTTCGTTCGGATTTTTAACCCCGGAGGGTTAGCCACCCAAGAAAGTCAGTGCGTCATCGAGGACTGTCTAACTTATTTCCATTGGGGTCCTTAATCTTGTCCCCCAGGATGCGACCCACACCAGTCGACAAACACCCAGGTACCTATTTGCTGCTAGGTGAACAGGACAACAGGTGTAAGGAAACGTGTCGAAATGTTTCCACCCGCCGGGAATCGAACCCGGGCCCTCCGCGTGTGAAGCGGGAGCTTTAGCCACCGGGCCACCCGCCACCAGGCCACCGGGCCACCCGCCACCAGGCCACCGGGCCACCCGCCACCAGGCCACCGGGCCTCTTCACTGGTCTGTGTGTTCATCTAATTGTGATTGCAGGAGTCGTTTCATAGCTCCTGGCCCTGCCTCTTCACTGGTGTGTGTTCACCTAATTGTGATTGCAAGGGTTGAGTCATAGGTCCTGGCCCTTCCTCTTCACTGGTGTGTGTGTTCACCTAATTGTGATTGCAGGGGTCGATTCATAGCTCCTGGCCCTGCCTCTTCACTGGTGTGTGTTCACTTAATTGTGATTGCAGGAGTCGTTTCATAGCTCCTGTCCCTGCCTCTTCACTGGTGTGTGTTCACTTAATTGTGATTGCAGGAGTCGTTTCATAGCTCCTGGCCCTTCCTCTTCACTGGTGTGTGGGGGGGGGCGGCCTTGGAAGGTGTACACAAACCAGAGCATCGCTGGAATATAACGTGTCTGGCAGTGACACTCCCTGGGGAGATATGTTTCACCCCAGTCCACTCCCCCACACCCCTACTCATCTCCTCCCCTCCTCTCTCTCTCTCTCTCTCTCTCTCTCTCCCACACACACACACACACACACCAGTAATAATACACGAGACAGAATGATTACTGCATGTATAATTGTGTGTACTGAATGAGAGAGAGAGAAACAGAGATAGGGAGGAAAAAGAGAGCAGAAAGGAGTAATTAAGAGCCTGGGAGAACGGATTGTCCTTATTATCTATTAAAATAAGCGAAACAGAGAGATTGGAGTGAGGAGGGAGAGAGAGAGAGAGAGCTGAAGTAGGAGAAGAGAGGGATGGACGTTCTATAGAGGAGGAAAGAGAGGAATAGAGGAATGATGGGAACTAAAAGAGAGCTAGGCAGGAAGAACGGCACCCCTGTGGTAGTTAACTTTATAGCTGTGTAATTAGCCTGATAGCTGGGTGATTAGTCTGTTAGCTGGGGGATTAGCCTGATACCTGTGTAATCAGTCTAATAACTGGGTGATTAGTCTGATAGGTAATTAGTCTGATAGCTGGGTGACTAGTCTGATAGCCGGATAATTAGCCTATAACCTGGTAATTAACCTCATATCCGGGTGATTAGCCTAAAGCCCGTTAATTAGCCTGATAGCCGGGTAATTAACCTGATAGCCGGTCAAAGGGATCTGCTGTGATCTCTTACTCGTTTATACAACTTTGCAAGCTCCTGATGATGTGTTGATTGCAACACGAAAGGTCTAGAGCTATCATTCAAATCCCCTCCCGTGGTTGTTTTGCAGGTCATTGGTCACCACCTCACCATGGTTGACCCACACCTGGTTAACCCCACACTTGGTCACCACCTCACCATGGTTGACCCACACCTGGTTAACCCCACACTTGGTCACCACCTCACCATGGTTGACCCACACCTGGTTGACCTCACACTTGGTCGCCACCTCACCGTGGTTGACCCACACCTGGTTAACCCCACACTTGGTCACCACCTCACCATGGTTGACCCACACCTGGTTGACCCCACACTTGGTCACCACCTCACCATGGTTGACCCACACCTGGTTAACCCCACACTTGGTCACCACCTCACCATGGTTGACCCACACCTGGTTAACCCCACACTTTGTCACCACCTCACCATGGTTGACCCACACTTGGTTGACCTCACACTTGGTCGCCACCTCACCATGGTTGACCCACACCTGGTTAACCCCACACTTGGTCACCACCTCACCATGGTTGACCCACACCTGGTTGACCCCACACTTGGTCACAACCTCACCATGGTTGACCCACACCTGGTTGACCTCACACTTGGTCACCACCTCACCATGGTTGACCCACACCCGGTTGACCTCACACTTGGTCACCACCTCACCATGGTTGACCCACACCTGGTTGACCTCACACTTGGTCACCACCTCACCATGGTTGACCCACACCTGGTTGACCCCACACTTGGTCACCACCTCACCATGGTTGACCCACACCCGGTTGACCTCACACTTGGTCACCACCTCACCATGGTTGACCCACACCCGGTTGACCTCACACTTGGTCACCACCTCACCATGGTTGACCCACACCTGGTTGACCTCACACTTGGTCACCACCTCACCATGGTTGACCCACACCTGGTTGACCCCACACTTGGTCACCACCTCAACCATGGTTGACCCACAACCCGGTTGACTCACACTTGGTCACCACCTCACCATGGTTGACCACACCTGGTTGACCTCACACTTGGTCACCACCTCACCATGGTTGACCCACACCTGGTTAACCCCACACTTGGTCACCACCTCACCATGGTTGACCCACACCCGGTTGACCTCACACTTGGTCACCACCTCACCATGGTTGACCCACACCCGGTTGACCCCACACTTGGTCACCACCTCACCATGGTTGACCCACACCTGGTTGACCCCACACTTGGTCACCACCTCACCATGGTTGACCCACACCTGGTTGACCTCACACTTGGTCACCACCTCACCATGGTTGACCCACACCCGGTTGACCTCACACTTGGTCACCACCTCACCATGGTTGACCCACACCTGGTTGACCTCACACTTGGTCACCACCTCACCATGGTTGACCCACACCTGGTTGACCCCACACTTGGTCACCCTCACCATGGTTGACCCACACCTGGTTGACCCCACACTTGGTCACCACCTCACATGGTTGACCCACAACCTGGTTGACCCCACACTTGGTACCACCTCACCATGGTTGACCCACACACTGGTTGACCCCACACTTGGTCACCACCTCACCATGGTTGACCCACACCTGGTTGACCCCACACTTGGTCACCACCTCACCATGGTTGACCCACACCTGGTTAACCCCACACTTGGTCACCACCTCACCATGGTTGACCCACACCTGGTTAACCCCACACTTTGTCACCACCTCACCATGGTTGACCCACACTTGGTTGACCTCACACTTGGTCACCACCTCACATGGTTGACCCACACCTGGTTGACCCCACACTTGGTCACCACCTCACCATGGTTGACCCACACCTGGTTGACCTCACACTTGGTCACCACCTCACCATGGTTGACCCACACTGGTTGACCCCACACTTGGTCACCACCTCACCATGGTTGACCCACACCTGGTTGACCCCACTTGGTCACCACCTCACCATGGTTGACCCACACCTGGTTGACCCCACACTTGGTCACCACCTCACCATGGTTGACCCACACCTGGTTGACCCCACACTTGGTCACCACCTCACCATGGTTGACCCACACCTGGTTGACCCCACACTTGGTCACCACCTCACCATGGTTGACCCACACCTGGTTAACCCCACACTTTGTCACCACCTCACCATGGTTGACCCACACTTGGTTGACCTCACACTTGGTCACCACCTCACCATGGTTGACCCACACCTGGTTGACCCCACACTTGGTCACCACCTCACCATGGTTGACCCACACCTGGTTGACCCCACACTTGGTCACCACCTCACCATGGTTGACCCACACCTGGTTGACCCCACACTTGGTCACCACCTCACCATGGTTGACCCACACCTGGTTGCCACATCATCATCATCATCATAATAATAATAATAATAATAATAATAATAATAACATTAATAACAATAATAATAATGACATTAATAATAATAATAATAATAATAATAATAATAATAATGATAATAATAATAATAATAATACCTGTCTATGGCCCGCCTGAATCGAGGACTCCAGGCAGGGTAGAAGCTGTAGCAGGGCATCTCCGGCCTTGTGCTCTGACTACATAAGGTCGAGAACAGCTTAGGGCAATATGGTATGTCAGGGTGGGCCTGTATACAGCTCCAGCATCGTATTTCCGCCCTTATGTACACTTGTCACAGTCATTTTATTTCTCTAATCTTGCGTCACCTTTTCTTTCAGAAATCGTTTAGGCTTAGGCTGGGCCAGTAGGCCTACCAACACTGCACCTCTGTTATTACGTTGTTACACTAGGCAGTGAATGATCCTTACGGATTTAGTTCTTTCTTGTGAATATAGTAATGGTAATAATAATAATAATAATAATAATAATAATAGTAACAGCAATAATGATGTTGATTTTGTAGTCTGGGGTCACAGTGTACAAGTGTGTTGATCTTATAGCCTGGGGGGTCACAGTGTACAAGTGTGTTGATCTTATAGCCTGGGGGGTCACAGTGTACAAGTGTGTTGATCTTATAGCCTGGGGGGTCACAGTGTACAAGTGTGTTGATCTTATAGCCTGGGGGTCACAGTGTACAAGTGTGTTGATCTTATAGCCTGGGGGGTCACAGTGTACAAGTGTGTTGATCTTATAGCCTGGGGGGTCACAGTGTACAAGTGTGTTGATCTTATAGCCTGGGGGGTCACAGTGTACAAGTGTGTTGATCTTATAGCCTGGGGGTCACAGTGTACAAGTGTAGTTGATCTTATAGCCTGGGGGGTCACAGTGTACAAGTGTGTTGATCTTATAGCCTGGGGGGGTCACAGTGTACAAGTGTGTTGATCTTATAGCCTGGGGGGTCACAGTGTACAAGTGTGTTGATCTTATAGCCTGGGGGGTCACAATGTACAAGTGTGTTGATTTTGTAGCCTGGGGCCACAGTGTACAAGTGTGCTGATCATGTAACCTGGGGTCACAGTGTACAAGTGTGTTGATCTTATAGCCTGGGGGGGTCACAATGTACAAGTGTGTTGATTTTGTAGCCTGGGGCCACAGTGTACAAGTGTGCTGATCATGTAACCTGGGGTCACAGTGTACAAGTGTGTTGATCTTGTAGCCTGGGGGATCACAGTGTACAAGTGTGCTGATCATGTAGCCCGGGGTCACATTGTACAAGTGTGTTGATTTTGTAGCCTGGGGTCACAGTGTACAAGTGTGTTGATCTTGTAGCCTGGGGTCACAGTGTACAAGTGTGTTGATCTTGTAGCCTGGGGTCACAGTGTACAAGTGTGTTGATCTTGTAGCCTGGGGTCACAGTGTACAAGTGTGTTGATCATGTAGCCTGGGTCACAGTGTACAAGTGTGCTGATCATGTAGCCTGGGGTCACTGTACAAGTGTGCTGATCATGTAGCCTGGGTCACAGTGTACAAGTGTGCTGATCATGTAGCCTGGGGTCACAGTGTACAAGTGTGCTGATCATGTAGCCTGGGGCACAGTGTACAAGTGTGCTGATCATGTAGCCTGGGTCACAGTGTACAAGTGTGCTGATCATGTAGCCTGGGGTCACAGTGTACAATGTGCTGATCATGTAGCCTGGGTCACAGTGTACAAGTGTGCTGATCATGTAGCTGGGGTCACAGTGTACAAGTGTGCTGATCATGTAGCCTGGGGCCACAGTGTACAAGTGTGGTGATCATGTAGCCTGGGTCACAGTGTACAAGTGTGCTGATCATGTAGCCTGGGTCACAGTGTACAAGTGTGCTGATCATGTAACCTGGGGTCACAGTGTACAAGTGTGCTGATCATGTAGCCTGGGGTCACAGTGTAAAAGTGTGTTGGTCATGTAGTCTGGGGTCACAGTGTACAAGTGTGTTGATCATGTAGCCTGGGTCACAGTGTACAAGTGTGCTGATCATGTAGCCTGGGTCACAGTGCACAAGTGTGCTGATCATGTAGCCTGGGTCACAGTGTACAAGTGTGCTGATCATGTAGCCTGGGGTCACAGTGTACAAGTGTGCTGATCATATAGCCTTGGGTCACAGTGTACAAGTGTGTTGATCATGTAGCCTGGGTCACAGTGTACAAGTGTGCTGATCATGTAGCCTTGGTCACAGTGTACAAGTGTGCTGATCATGTAGCCTGGGTCACAGTGTACAAGTGTGCTGATATTGTAGCCTGGGGTCACAGTGTACAGGTGTGCTGATCGTGTAGCCTGGGGTCACAGTGTACAAGTGTGCTGATCATGTAGCCTGGGTCACAGTGTACTAGTGTGCTGATCATGTAGCCTGGGTCACAGTGTACAAGTGTGCTGATCATGTAGCCTGGGGTCACAGTGTACAAGTGTGCTGATCATGTAGCCTGGGTCACAGTGTACAAGTGTGTTGATCATGTAGCCTGGAGTCACAATGTACAAGTGTGCTGATCATGTAGCCTGGGTCACAGTGTACAAGTGTGCTGATCATGTAGCCTGGGGTCACAGTGTACAAGTGTGCTGATCATGTAACCTGGGGTCACAGTGTACAAGTGTGCTGATCATGTAGCCTGGGGTCACAGTGTACAAGTGTGCTGATCATGTAGCCTGGGTCACAGTGTACAAGTGTGCTGATCATGTAGCCTGGGTCACAGTGTACAGGTGTGCTGATCATGCAGCCTGGGGCCACAGTGTACAAGTGTGCTGATCATGTAGCCTGGAGTCACAATGTGCAAGTGTGCTGATCATGTAGCCTGGGGTCACAGTGTACAAGTGTGCTGATCATGTAGCCTGGGTCACAGTGTACAAGTGTGCTGATCATGTAGCCTGGGGTCACAGTGTACAAGTGTGCTGATCATGTAGCCTGGGGTTACAGTGTACAATTGTGCTGATCATGTAGCCTGGGGTCACAGTGTACAAGTGTGCTGATCATGTAGCCTGGGGTCACTGTGTACAAGTGTGCTGATCATGTAGCCTGGGTCACAGTGTACAAGTGTGCTGATCATGTAGCCTGGGTCACAGTGTACAAGTGTGCTGATCATGTAGCCTTGGGTCACAGTGTACAAGTGTGCTGATCATGTAGCCTGGGTCACAGTGTACAAGTGTGCTGATCATGTAGCCTGGGGTCACAGTGTACAAGTGTGCTGATCATGTAGCCTGGGGTCACAGTGTACAAGTGTGCTGATCATGTAGCCTGGGGTCACAGTGTACAAGTGTGCTGATCATGTAGCCTGGGTCACAGTGTACAAGTGTGCTGATCATGTAGCCTGGGGTCACAGTGTACAAGTGTGCTGATCATGTAGCCTGGGGTCACAGTGTACAAGTGTGCTGATCATGTAGCCTGGGGTCACAGTGTACAAGTGTGCTGATCATGTAGCCTGGGTCACATTGTACAAGTGTGCTGATCATGTAGCCTGGGGTCACAGTGTACAAGTGTGCTGATCATGTAGCCTGGGTCACAGTGTACAAGTGTGCTGATCATGTAGCCTGGGGTCACAGTGTAC